CATTTACTACAAATTGACATAAAAAATAATAAATTTCTTAAAATAATTTAATTAAAAAATAATAAAAAATTGAAAAACATATACAGGGTGATCCGAACTGTATTCCGGAAACTTCGGCAGCATATTCTGCAGATAAAAATAATAATACATATTTTATAAGTCCAGTCTCGTTTAACATCATAATGAATGAAATAATAAATTAAGTAAAGCAATCTAGTAGAGAATACCGACTGGGAGACAAAGAAATAAAAGTAATATCGTTGAATGAAGAAATAAGAAGATGCGCAAACTTATGGGGATTTCGTGGCACAAAACCTGTCCGGCGTTACCGTCAGCCTATCCGAGAATTTCGAGATTTAGTTTAGCTCTGCGTCGCTGCGCGCTGATAGTCGTTTACAGCGCAGCGGATAAAGAATACTGTACAGTAGTTCTCCCTTCAGTCAACAGAATGGGTGTTTGAGACAGTGTTGCCCGAACTACGGATTAATCCGTAGATTTACGGATTTTTGGTACAGAATGTTAATAATACGGACTATCTATAATTAAAAAATTAATATATATGATTAAACAAATTATTATAAAAAAGAAGAAAAAGATTAAACGGCTCAGCCCTCAACAACTCGCAACCGTATACATCAATGTAAACCAGTGCGGACACGCACACTCACACAACCACACACCTACACTAGTGCACACTGTTGTTACTGCCTTCAGGCTTCATCAGTACGGTAAGAAACCAGGAAGCGATGAAACCGATCCCAAAACACAAAAAAACAGGAAGCAAACGATGCAACGAGGCACCGTGTGCAACCTAGGAGATGGAAAAAAAATTGATGAAGAAACGAAAATAAATGATGGAAAATAAAAAGGAGCAAACGGGAGCCTAAAGCCCCAATTTGCAGCCAAGAACCAGAGTCGCCCAGGATTGTGGGCTTCGTCCAGAACAGCCGCGGAGGTAGCCAACAGCAACCCGCCGCAATACCCTTAGCCGTGGTACCAATATGAACAAGAAAGAAATAGTGAGGGAAATGTATAAAAAAGAAGAAAAAGATTAAACGGCTCAGCCCTCAACAACTCGCAACCGTATACATCAATGTACACCAGTGCAGACACGCACAATCACACACTCACACAACCACACACCTACACTAGTGGACACTGTTGTTACTGCCTTCAGGCTTCATCAGTACGGTAAGGAACCAGGAAGCGATGAAACCGATCCCAAAACATAAAAAACCAGGAAGCAAACGATGCAACGAGGCACCGTGTGCAACCCAGGAGATGGAAAAATGATGAAGAAACGAAAATAAATGATGGAAAATAAAAACTGGACGAAGCCCACAATCCTGGGCGACTCTGGTTCTTGGCTACAAATTGGGGCTTTAGGTTCCCGTTTGCTCCTTTTTATTTTCCATCATTTATTTTCGTTTCTTCATCAATTTTTTTCCATCTCATGGGTTGCACACGGTGCCTCGTTGCATCGTTTGCTTCCTGGTTTTTTGTGTTTTGGGATCGGTTTCATCGTTTCCTGGTTCCTTACCGTACTGATGAAGCCTGAAGGCAGTAACATCAGTGTGCACTAGTGTAGGTGTGTGGTTGTGTGAGTGTGTGAGTGTGCGTGTCTGCACTGGTGTACATTGATGTATACGGTTGCGAGTTGTTGAGGGCTGAGCCGTTTAATCTTTTTCTTCTTTTTTATACATTTCCCTCACTATTTCTTTCTTGTTCAAATTATTATATTTATTATATGATTAAACAAAGAACGGCGTCAGAGTTGGCTTGGGAATAAAGGTCGCTGTTTTTTCATATGTAAAATATTATGGTAAATATCAATAGTTGTCTTTGTGACGTTTGAAAGAAAAATATTTGATATTCATGCTTTAAAGAAATGAAAAATATGAATATTATAATATAAAATAAACTCTTTTTATAAAAAATACTATATTGGCTTTTACAAGCACGGGATACTATATAACCCCGGCGGATAAAGGAGTAAATCTGCGAGATATTTGAAAACGTTTAAAATACTGCAAATGGTTTAGGGTAAATCAGAATATCGGATGCGCTTCGCGGATAAGGACTTGTTTATTGAACATTCGAAAATTCAAACACTCCCAAAAGGAAAATTATTTATGGTTTGTTTTATATGCGGGTATATTTTTTCCATATTGTTTATTATTCAAATAGAAAATAATTATTAAAACTATTTGATTTCATATTTTTATGTAACTTATATGGCGAATCAAAAAAAAAACTAATAAATTAATAATAAAATTAAAAACAAAATATACAGGGTGGTCCGAACTGTATTCCGGAAACTTTGGCAGCATATTCTGCAGATAAAAATAAGTAAAAAAGTTCGCATAAATAAAATGTTTAGTTTCGGAGATACAGGGTGTAGAAATTTAATTTTTATTTCGATTTTTTTTAAATAATTTATGAAGTAACGCAAATATATCGATGAAAATTGCTGTCTGGGAGTTTTTTGACATGAGAAATTTGGATTTTGATGACAATATGACTCCTACTAGTAGAGGGCGTCATCTACTTATTTTTTAACTAGTTTTAAAAGTAATAACTTTTTGTCACTACCGGTATAAAACTACTGGGTAAAGAAATATACATTTACGACATTTTTTACGTAAAAAAGGTCTCTTGGGAAAAATCGCTACCGAATAATTGTTCTCGATATATTTTGAATGGAAATAGTCAATACTTGTCACTATTGACAAAAAATAAACACGTTGAGTAGATAGTTATTTGACTGAAATAATAAATTCGGGATTTTTTTATTGAACTAAATTAATATCTGAAATTTTGGCGCAAAAACATTTCAAATTGCTAAATTTAATTTAAATTAAATTAAAAACAAATTGTTAAACTCAAGAGGTCTTAAGCGTTGCTGGTAGTGTAAAGACATACACTGAAAAAAATATTGTTCATAATATTAATGAACATTGATTATTAACTGTTCTTTCATTGGGACAATGATTTTTTTCATTATATTAATGATTTGTTAATCATAGATCGATGCCTGATTTATTATTAGTATGAATTTAATTTCATCTATGTAATGAAAATCTGGTTTTCAAATTAATGTAAGATTTTCATTATTATAAAGAACGCGTTCATCGTCCTAATGAATGCGTTCTTTGCTTTAATGCTGAAACTTTAATGAACACATATTCATTATATTAATGTACTAAATCATTGATTAATGAGTTGTACATTGTAACAATGAACAATGTTATTAATACAAGGAACACACTACATTATATTAATGTACGCGGTTATTAATATCAGGAATAAAATATTAGGACTTAAATCGTGGCCATCGTGATCGGTTACTTTGGCACTTTAATAACGTCTGTGTGGTTGAGTTATTCAGTGAGGCTTTAGTTTAATTAGAGCGGTAAGTGTTCAATATTTTAAATATTTTAAATAAAAGTCCTATCGTATTGTAGTTAATTTGTTGTGTTGTCAAATCAAATTCCGCTGTGTGAGATCTCTGGTGTGAGTATTCATTAAAACAGCGGTTACCAAATATGTTTCAGAAGATAACAAACAAAAAGAAGAAAAACGTAGTAACAAGTCGAGGCATGAAACTGATTATGGTAAATTCGAATATTTGGCATTTTAATTATTTTGATATACGTCTTTTAGAACCGGAAGTAGATGTGGAGACCTGCCTTCAAGCCCTCAAATTTAACATCGGACCCACTTGATGCAACTTAGAAAGCCTGTTGCAAATTCGTCTAGACGTTATCAAGTCTAAGGATATAGCTAATATAATGAAGAAATGGTCTTTTGATAGAAATCCCTCAGGATATCGACGGGTAAATTAATTTTCTTATTATAATTTACCCTAAAATTAATAATAACATTACTATTCTCTTCGTCGATTCGATTTTTTTTAATTTTTAATATGTATATGCTATATCGAGTTTAATAAATTATTATTAATTTATTGCACTTGTTTTTTATTAATGATCCCTAATGGAAAAATTTACAGTGCTCGTAAGTAAGTGTAGTAATTATTAGTAATTTTGTTACCTTTGTAGCTAAGGGCTTGTTCAAATGGAAATCTATTTATAGTAGAATTATTTCAGGTAGTTGGCTGGGAAATGACTATCAATGACATTTCATATCAATGACAGCGATCTTCATCATCGATTATACGGTGTAACAAGAGTTACTAATAGTGTCGACTTTTAAATGTATAACTAAATAGGTTATGAAATTATTTCATTGTATTAATGATAACAGTTCTGATGAATAAATGTTATTAATGTAAATAATATATGAAATAAATTTCATTGTATTAATGATACGGTTCATTAATATAAGGATTTAGGTACATTAATAGATTTAGGTATATTATGAAATCTGTTCATTGTATCAATGAATGTGTTCTTCAAATTAATGAACACTGTTCATTGATTTAATGAACTTAAAGTTCATAGAGTTAATGAATTACTTTTCATTGTGCCAATGAAATCGGTCATCGGCTCAAAATTAATGATTTAATTCATTATATTAATGAACTTTTTCATTATATTTATGTAGACTTTTGGTACAGTGTAAAATAATATGATAATCTAATTAGAAACTTTTTATTGACTTGCTTCATTACAAATATCAAACATAAACATGAAATATATAACATAAAACACGCAAAAACACTAATTAATATTATTCAAAAACAAAAATAAATAATAATGAAAAAATCAATCCGTATATAGAACACAGCGAATACAGAACATTTGTGTGTGCTCAAAACATACGAAATTTTAACACTGTACGCAAGAGTAACGAGTCTGTTTTTCCACCTTCACCACCATCACAATTATGTGCCGATCCTGGTAATACTGTATTCAGTGGCTCAGAATCTGAAATTTATTTTTTTGTATCAGAATATATTTCGGACCCTTGCCTTTCTATAATATCCACTTCTCCTGTTTTGTCATCGTCATGTTCAGTAGTTAATTCGTCATTTTCATTCAGACAGTCTTGCCTGAGCCATTACAAACGTTTTTGCTCTGCCTTATATGAATACATCTAAAAAAATAATACTTATTTAATAAAAAATATCTATTTTTTACTTCTTTTATCACAATTTTTTCATTTTCAATTAAAACAAATGACTAAAATAACTTATCTTGTTCGACATTATAAACTTATTGATGTAAAAAGAGTATAACAAAGGGTCTCGCGCGGACTGACACTCCGTAAATACACTAAACGATGTGCAAATATACACTTTTCATAGAATATGCAGTGACAGGTGGATATTAAGTCCGGCGCAGCATCTGATGTTTCCAGATTTTTTAAATATCGGGAAAATAGATAACAGCGGAGTGCGGAGTCCGCGCGCGACCTCCAAAGGGTTAAGATAGTTTAATATTGGTGCAGTTTGGTTTGAGCCAATCAGTTTGCGCAAATTAACTGAGTCTTAGTGTAGTGAGTATACCAGAAATGCCTAATTACTCAAATACAGAGAAACTTTGATCAGGAGATACCATACGAGTAAATTCACAGTGCAATAACATTTTCTAATACACTTTTATAACAACCATAAACTTTATTTAAAACGGACATATAAGTCTCTATATACGAATCCCTCTCAGAATTTAATGCCGGCGTTTAATCAATATGCTAATTTAATTTATACCTCTATAAAGTTCCTTTACTATAAACTGGCGCTATTTTAAAGGCCCCTATTAAAGCGGAGCAGTTTCCGAAAACATCCAAACAATCTTAATGAAAAAGCTATCAATCACACACGGAAATAGCTCTTGGGAGGAGAGGATGGCTGTAAAATCCTAATTTTAAAATACAATAACGGTGTAAAAGAACCTTTTAGAAAAAATTCCTCCCGAGACATATCTAGCATATTTCACGAGGCTGAAGCAGGATTCGGATTTTTTTGTTTAAAAATAACCTGGAATTTCTGTTAGAGAGTCACAGGCGTGATTGGGGAGATGTAAGAATAAGAGAAAAATGGTTTGGAACGTGAAGACGCTTTGATATTCGCTTTTATTCCTAAGCACTGTCCAGGAGTTGATAATTCTTCGGAAAGAACAAAAATATTTGCATTTTTTAAGTCTGTGTACTGAATTTTTTAACTAGCAAAAATATAACATATATAAAACATTTTCTAACTTAAAAGGATTTATTAACTTGTTAAGTTCAAATGTATACAAACATACAAACATGGTGAAGAGTGATAAAAGTAAATAAAAATGACGCCATTTTAAGACATTTGCACTTAAATGATAAACATTTATTATTAATAATTGCACCTGATAGATTTATTGGAAGTTATAACTGGACTTCATACCGGGTGAGTTCTTAACTTTAAACTGTGAGCTTCACCCCAAAAAACAACCCCAAATACGCCCTTCGATGGCTTTTCGCTTTTTTCTCAGAACCCGTTGGTCCCACAAAATTTTATACTTACTGAAAATATTCCTTATAAAATTTGCTACAAAAAAGCTTCTATCCATTATGTATATTTATCCAATGCATTTCGAGCAATAACCGTTTGAAAAATGGAGTACAGAAAAAATACAGGTCGCCTTTCAAATTATAGTCTCCCAGGGCATTTCTCCCAGGTATTTTAACGTGCTAAATATACACGAAACAGATATAATACTGTATAATAGGTTTGTTCCATCAAGAAATTGTAATCTGTCAAAAGTGCGCATGCATTAACATTGACTAGTTTTGGATCAATAAATTTTTTGTGATGGAACAAATGACTATACGCGAAATTTGACAAGTAAATATAACCTACTTTTTAAAGTGCTTGCTGTTGTAGTGCTGGCCTAAAATCAACGTTTGTTTTTGTTAGTAAACCTAAGAATATTGTTGTGTTAAAAGATTTGCTATGGAATCTAATAATTATAGTAAGTGATTTTACCAAATTCGCTTTAATTAGGTTCTCATTATATCAGTGTTTTAATAGGTTTGAACGAATTTACTTTAATAAATGTACCACCTACCGAGCCGCCTACATTGCCTGAAGAACAGGCAACAACTGCCCAAGAGCAAATAATACTAAGGGAAGAAAATAATAATTGTAACTGGACCACAAATAAGACTAAAATTTTCATTGAATTATACCAAAAGTATAGAAAGAAAGTGGGAACAATGGAAATCAGAACACAAGATAAATTATTTTCAGTTATTGCTACTGAATTAAATAAAATATTGAGCACTAGTTTTAGTGCCAATCATTGCAAGAATAAGTGGCGTGTTTTGGTTGTGATAAAAAAAGCGTATAAAAAATATAATGAAGACAAAAACAAAACAGGTCGCGGTAGAAAATTCTTTGAATTTAGTGACGAAATGGACAAAATATTTGAAAAGAAAAGAAATGTCAATCCACTTATTCTGCTAGATTCAAACAGTAGGACACCTCTTGAAGAAGTAAAAAAACATTTTATCTGCAGATAAAGGTGATAATACACCATACCGATTAGATGATACAGCTACTTCATCAGTAACCTGTGACGAAAGAAAAAAACAGAAATCAACGATAATTAATCGTAATAAAATACTGGACAAAATAAGGGAACAGAAAGAACACTATTACAAAGAACGAATACAAATTGAAAGGGGAAAAATGGAAATTCAAAAACAAAAATTGGCAGCAATTTTAGAAAGAAATCAGTTGTTAAAGCAACAAATGGTGTTCCACAGTGGTAAAAAATAATTATAATTTGTTATTTAATGTTATATATGTTATTTAATGTTTTATGTCGTTTATTTTTATAGATACTAAAATAATAGAATTATATTAATTCAGTATGGAGTTAGTTTGATTGTAAAATAACACTCTGGTGATTACTAAACATTTATTAAATTGACTTAATACCTTATTAAATATGTATTACCTTAACATTTACTATTAAAAAATTATACATAATTCGAGAATAATGGTTAGAATACTAGTTAAACTCGTAATCTACAAAATAGAAATTTTATCGAGTAGTCTCATATTATAGATTTACCTTATATTTAAAATATTTACAATATCATTTCGTTTTTGGACACCATTTCTATCATCAGGTATCTCATCAGGATCCTCATCATTATTATCCCAAAGGTCACCCAAAACAACTTCATTCTGGTGTCCAATATCATTTTGATTCAAAGGCACATCATCTTTCAGTGCTAAGTTATGCAAAACACAACACGCTCGAATAAAATGAACTATATCACGTACATTTCTAAGTTTAACATGATACAACTGCCTATACTTCTGCTTAAGCAGCCCAAAGCAGTGTTCAATTATATATCTGTTAGTAGCCAAAGCAACATTGTAGTTAGTCTGAGCTCTTGACAATTGTCCACGATCCCTAAATGGTGTTAGTAAATTGGTTAAAAGAGGATATCCACTATCTCCCAATAGATGAAAGTTGACACATTTTTGTTGTAGTGTGGCACATAATGTTGAATTTCGGAACACGCGGCTATCATGTACAGACCCTGGAAATCCAACAAAGATATCCCGAATTAGTAAGTTGTGGTCACAGACTGTCTGAATCTTAAAAATACTAACTTAGTCTGCTAAAAACAAAATATTAGAGGTTTTCATACCTGAATGGAATAAAAACTTTTTCTATTCATGTATGAATCTGGGTCATCTGAAGGTTTATCAATCTTTATATGCGATCCATCTATAGCTCCAATTACTCCAGGAAATCCCTTCCTATTAAAATGAGCTGCAATGTCCTCTTTTTCTAGTTGGGTTGGCCACGTTATCACTTCCGGAGAAAGATTGCTCAAAAAATATGTAACTCGTCTAATAATACGAAATATTGTGCTTATTGTCACATCAAAACGATCCCCTACATCTCGATAACTTGCAGTTTGATGTCCAGCAAACCAAAGAAATATGTAAATAACATCCTGAGCGCTCAATTTTCCGTAACAGCCTGAACGATTTGTTGAGTAATAAATACTATTTGCAAATTTATCAGCTATAGACATTGCGACATGTCGGCTTACTCGAAAGTGATCTAGAAATAGCTCATTGCTGTATTGTGGGATAGTTTGATCTAAATAATGTGCGTTTTTATGGCGAAGATCAATGTCTAATATTAATTCTAAATTTTCATCATCATCACTAGAATCACTAGCTTCACTCTCTGAAGATATGTCAAAAATTTCATCATCAAAAAGAACATTGTCATCCATTTCTATAAAAAAAGGCTTAAGACTTAAATCGACGCTACAAAGAAATAATTCAATTCTTACTACTGATTTCTGGGTAATTTCACAAAAATATACAGAAATTATGTAAAAAAATGGTTCACAAATTAGTTCTGTTATCTGTGATTCACAACGAAAATATATTTTGATTCTAACGTTAACAGCTGTTAAAACGCAGAGTGCGCAGCCGCATGACAATTAGTTTCTGCAGTAGTCCAGTAATACTTTTGACAGTTCCGAAACTGGTTCGGCATCGTGATGGAACAGAGAACAACAATCATTAATCTGTCAGTTTTTTTGTCCGCAAAGTTGATGGAACAGAAAAATTTTAGTGCGCATGCTCGAGACATCTGCGAACTGTCGGCGACCGCTGATGGAACAAACCTAATATAAACGAAAACATTGCCTATTCCACTAAACTAACATTCATATTTATCATCTTCATATTGTCATCGTCTATAGTTTCTAGAATGTGCTCAGTATACGAACAGCTTTAATGCAACTGCATCTTTTTACACAATCTTGTTTGCAGTTGCACGTTATTAGTGACATAATTGAAGCAGGGGCGGGCGATTCTGTTGTATATAAAGGTGACAGGGTGTTGTTGATTTTCTTCCAACCCCACTGGTCGGGTTTTATAGGTTGTTCTTGCCATATTTGTACTTGAAGATATGTTCTTCGGGAATGTTGCCTAGCTGCAGCAGATGTGGGAGGCAATTTTGATAAAAGTACCGTGCTGTTTGCTTCACCAACTAACTTATTAAAACAAGTGTATCTTTGCTCACTAAGACTCCCTTCAGGTGATTGAGGTTTGTATAGTTTCAGTACAAACGTCTCTCCAGCTTTTTCAATTTCTTTAGGTGTTGTCTTTGCGTTGTTAAGAATATCGACGATACTATCAAAGTCTTTTTCTTTATTAAATATTTGTACGTGTTGTTGTTTTCCTTTTCCAAAAAATCCTGATGTTGTGTCACACCCGCTATTAGCGTGAATAAATAAAATTGATTTTTTTAAATTACGTATAATACTGCATGATTGCAAGTCTCTCGAACTATACATTCGTTGTTTCACATTACCTATGGCTTCTTTCAGAAAAAGAATGTTTTTTTCATCGGAGGAAAGTGCTGCTAATAAAACAATAAGATCGACATCTTGTCCAACGACTAGAACTTGTTCATTTTTCTCAGATATTTTGATGGCAGTACGAATAATTTGAACATCAGCGAACAAGATTGTGTAAAAAGATGCAGGTGCATTAAAGCCGGCATGTTAACTATGTGCGGAACCTGTCGTGGGCAAAGTTCGAATACTGAGCACATTCTAGAAACTATAGACGATGACAATGTGTAGATGAAAGTATGAATATTAGTTAGTTTAGAGGAATAGGCAATGCTATTGTTTATCCCAAGCAGCATTTGGACGTCGGGACAACGTTGTGTCACGCGACCAAACGTCGGGGCGCAACGTCGGCACAACCTCGTGCCAACCCTAATCTGCACTAGTTTGGAGAATAATTTTTGGGTCGAAACGACGTTGCATACCGACGTTGGCTAGAAGCCTAATTTACTACAAACTGCAACGTTGTTTTAAATTCTAATTCACAGAAATACAAAACTAATATGGCGTCTAAGTCGCGTTTTATCCTAAATTGGGATAATTATAGTAAAAATATTATTTTTATGATTTAGTTAGAGACATATGTCAGATGGCAGTGAAGGAAAACAAAACAAAAGTATTTAAGTGTGGGGGATGTTTGAAGATCATAATTATTGAAACACTTTAATCGACTCTGTAACTCGTTACCCAAGACAAAAAAGTTAAACGCAAATAACTTTATTGATAAATGTATTGTTTCTACTTTGAAAAATACTAATGGGCCTTAAAATTAAAGAAGTTTTAAAAATTATCTTGATTTTTTTTTTAGTAAAATGAGAATAATTTATTCGCAGTCGAAAAAATTGTTTCCGCGTGTTTTTTAGGATCAAATATTTAAAGTTAATGTATTCAAAAAGCAGGAATTGCTATTTTAGGAACGAAACATTTTCTTATTTATTCGACGTCGCAGAAGCTTCCTACTTTGCTGTAGTACTAGTCCAACGTCGGCACAACGTTATAAAAACGTTTAAATTTATTTTAATACCCAAGGTAGGGAGCTAACTATTTTTTGTAACTAATCCAACGTTGTGTTTAGTAAACATGTGGTCGCAAGTCGTGAAAATGCTACTTGGGATATTATACAGTATTATATCTGTTGCATGTATATTTAGCACGTTAAAATACCTTGGGAGACTATAATTTGAAAGGCGACCTTTATTTTTTTTTGTACTCTATTTCTGAAACGGTTATTGCCCGAAATGCATTGGATAAATATAAATAATGAATAGAACCCTTTTTGTAGAACATTTTTTAAGGAATGGGTATAGAAATGCATACTTTTAGAGTCATAGGATGTTAAAACTTCTTAAAAAAAGTTTTTTTTTTATTTTCTTAAATACCATTATTTTTTATTTGAAATTGCTGTATATAGGTTGGACTAATAGTAATAATAACTAATAGTGATAACATTTAATAATAAATTAGGTAAAATATATAATTTATTAATTTTATTTTCATTTTAATTTTATTAATTGTGATTAATTAAATTGTGTTTATCTCCTCAAGAAAACCGAATCCGACAAAATATTAAGTGATAACTTTTAATTGGCATTAACTGGTCCATGCAATTTTGATATCAAAAGAAAAAAATCAGTGGCGCACATGTTTTTTTTTGAAAAATATTCCATTGATAACCTTTTTTTCTTTTTTATAACCTTTATATATAATATATATAACCTTTATTTGCATGTTTCTGATGAATTTATCGACACTTTTTTAGCCTTAAAATACGTAGCACATATAGTAACTTTTTCCCTCGAAACTTAATTCGAATCACTGAAAGTATTTCGAAGAAAATTATAATAAATCGAAAGCTTATTAAGACTTTAACACCCTGTAGCTAACAAAGCAGAATCGGGCCTATGTAGATATGAAAAATAAATCTTATTTTTACGTGAGGAATCTCCCCACGAGAGAGAGCACATGTTTTTTGAAACACCCTGTATAGCTATTTTATTTTTCAGATTTTTGTTCCAGTGGTAAAATATCGACATCTTTAAGTATTTTTTTGCATTTTAATTTTCGGTTACAGTGACTAGTAGCACAGTCTTTTTTTATAGAATACATTTCATATTATTATATTTTTGTCCTTGTCAATTCTAATACCCAAACAAAATTACGAAGCGGGTAAAAAAGTTCCCTAACACAAATAAACGCGAGCTACTAAAATACCAGGAATAGCACTTAAAAACAACCGTGCATTTTTTAATTGCATTTAAAAAGTTCATTTAGCGGGTGGCCATTTTTGTTTGCACATTAATTAAATTTTATTTAATTCCCGAAATAGGTCTGGCATTCGTCGGCCGGACTCTCTAAAGAAATCCGTTTTTTCCCTGAAAATGAGCACGACGGCTTAATTTGCCAGCCGCTGTCGCTTAATTGTTGCTAATTGGCCGAAAGCAAAGATAGACGCAGAAACAATGCATCGAATAGTTTTTAGAACAAAATGCAGGTTCGTTTTGGAAGGTCGTTCTATGTAGAAGCGGCGGATTAATGAAAATATATTCGAAATCTGGAAATAGTAACGGACTTTAGTTAATTGATATAAATTGTTTGGATGGAAGCTGGGAGTAAATAAAACAAACGGCCATAAAATTAATTTAAAACCTACTCTTTTATTGATAAAATAATGGCTATATAAACTGTCCATCAAATTAAATACCACAGCGATTTTTTTACTCATTTTCAACGAGTTGTAACTTTGAAAAAATTGGACCGATTTTGTTGATTTTGTAGGATATTAAAGATCGTTTTTCTTAGATTGATCTGAGTTTTCTAAATTTTGTATGAGATTTAATTTTCTATGATACACAGGGTGTGAAAAAAAGAAATGTAATTTTTGTGTTGCTACCATTTTGGCAAAAAAAAATTACTAGAATTATAAGTTCTGGGTATAGCTAAGACTAATATCTCGGGACGTATTTGGAATTTTTACGATAACTCATCTGGAATAAAAGATAATCAATTTTTACTCTAACATGATTTTTTTCTACCTTTCTTAAGAGATATGCTAACAAAACTGAAATTAACTTTAAAATTGTAGGATATTCGTTCGATGTGTAGTTCGAATACTGGGATCATATTAATTGGTCCTCCTTAACAAAAAAAAAAACAAGAAATATTTAAACAGTTTTTTAATTTTTTTATTTCATTAAAAGCTAGCGACCTATATCGACAATATTAGTATCTGTACTCTTTAAAAATTTTCTACATCTTTAAAAATAATTCAAAATGTCAATATTCCATGGGTGTAGTGATAAATGTAAATTGTAAGAGGTTAAATTGTAAGAAAATGCATTTTCTACGAACTTGAACTTGAAGAGATAGGTAAAAAATGGTATAAAACAATTTTATGGACAATTAAATTGTTCATCTGATTCTCATAAAATATACATTTAAATTAAAGAAGCTATTGTCGTTTAAAGCTAGTAATTATTTAATATAAATTTTTAGACACTCTGTGTAAGGTAATATTTTGTTTATTATTGTCAACACAATATCTGATAAATAAATAAACTTCAGTAAATATTTAGTATTAAAAACTTTGATACTCTTGGAGAAATGAAGCCTTAAAATTTTTACTGCAATTTCACAAAATTGAAAATACACACACCGGAAAAGTCTAGAGATATTACAATTTTATCCAGCCATCGTCAGTAATTTTATTATTTGCATTTCTGATATAATAAAATTAAAATAAAGAAATAGTTTACAGGACGTATTGGAAATAAAAATGCGAAATTTACCGATTTTTCAAATTTACCTTGATTTTTATTGAACTCAAAAAAATACACATATTTTTTTTAATTCTAAACTGTGAATTAAAAAAAAAAAGATAAAACCATTTTTACTTAATAAAGGGTATAGCCTCCTCTACTGTTCATTACAGCCCTATATCGTCTCCCCATGCTCCTGATCAGATTGTCGATCTCTTCTTGAGGTACAGGCTGCCACGCTGCATTCACGGCCCGAACCAGATCCCTACGAGTTTCACGAGGCATACCCATTCTCAAAATTCTTCTTTGGACCGCGTCCCATACGTGCTCGATGGGGTTGAGGTCAGGAGATTGTGCCAGCCAGGGTGAGATATTTAATTGATGAGCATTGATAAACTCACTTACCACTCTGGCTGTATGAGGCCGTGCATTGTCATGCATGAGAATGAAGTTTCTCCCAAAATCATTGGCATATGGTAACACGTCAGGCTCAAGAACTAAATCACGATATGTGATTCTTGTTAGAAACCTTTCAAGAAAAACGAGATCGCTTTTTCGGCCTAACTGGACTCCTCCCCAGACCATAACTGTTCCACCTTGATAAGTGTGCACTTCCTGAACATGATCCAACCGAATAAGATTTCCCGGTTCTCTCCATACCCTAAGCCTTCTCGAATCCGGATGAATTCCAAAGCGTGACTCATCCGTGAAGAGAACATTGGCCCATTGTTCATTCGACCACTAAACATGATCTTTAGCCCACAAATATCGTACATCTCGATTTCCTCTCGTTAAGGGTTGGAGCTCTCCAGAGGCGTCTGCTTCTTAAGTTGACCTCTCTTAATCTATTGCGAACAGTGTCAGGACTAACGGTTATATTATGTGTTTCCTGGAGAATTAAACTAAGCTCTGGTGCTGTAAGAGTCGGTCGGCGTCGAGCATTTAATTGTAAAAAATGATCTTGCTGAGGGGTAGTAATGCGATGTCGCCCTGTGTGCCTTTCAGCAACATCACCACTTTCACGGTAGCGTGCACTTAATCGCGATATTACACTTTGTGTTGTATTTAATGCTCTAGCTACGTCGATTTGGCGCATTCCAGCTTCGAGCATACCCATGGTCCTTAGCATTTCGTCTCTGTTAAAGATGTCTATGCTCCCATAATGTCTTTTAATACTAAACAGAGTTATTTGAATTAATTCTGGCCAGTTATCATAAAAACATAGCCAGTACAGGTTAAATTCGAACAATTGATGCTAGGTGCTTTTTATACATTTGACAAAAAATGCACAAACACTTCTGCAAATATCCCAAAGTTAGAAATAACTAGTGTGACTACTTCGTTTCAATCGAAGTAGAAAGAATCGGCCTACAAATATGTGGTTGTTTATTCAAAACATTTATTTTTAACTTTATTAAAATGATACCCCTAGATTTTTCCGGTGTGTGTATTTCAAAAACGGTAAGGTTTAAGTGTGATAACTAAGGTCTATTACACTTTAGTGAGTTACACTAGTCAAATTTACCTTTATTTCAATCGTAGAATCTAAAAATATAATAATATACAGGGTATTCCATTTAAAAAATACAATTATAATATTTTTTACTTATTTGGAACACTCTGTATCTTGCAAAATTATTTTTAAACAGCTCTAATAGTACTACAACAAGCCTAAAACTTACAATTTCTAAAAATCTAATCGTTTAGCTACAATACTCCGTGTCGTATGTGGTGAACATTCCTTTCATTATCAAAGCAAACTGGTACTTCAAAAAAGAGTCCCAAAAAAAGCTCCACATCGATAATCCAGAGTCTCTTACACATATAGAGCTACACTGAAAACAGAGGCAGGAGCCGAAAAACGGTGATTCCAACTGTACTGTCGCGTGTTCCATCCCACGACAACGCGCTCAGTGTTAAATGCGCGCTCGTGCAGGCGCCACAACGACTTTTCAACGCGAAAAGAATGTCGATTCTCGATTTTGGCGGCGCGCTCGACGATTTCAATACTTTTCACCTGGGATTATGCGAGACGGGATAAGATTTTACCGATAGCGACGATGCTAGGGTGAATTTATGTGATTGGCACGATGGCAGTGGAAAGTGTTGTTGTTGGTGTGATACTGTTAGTGATAGGATTTGGTGGGTTGTTCACGTTGGATTCGAAGGAGTTTCAGAAGAGTCGTAAGTTGCAGATTGTTTTTGATTTGGTTTTTAGTGAAGAAGTTTTGAAAAACAATATTTTTTACCATATTTGCAATGGTATAATGTAAATTGTATTTACTGCTTAGGTCTGTGTTTTCAACATTTTATACTATGTCAGGAACTAGACTGGCATTAATCTTCCAAAAATATATAAATTTTACTTAAGAGTCTATTACGCTGTACTGTTCTGGTTGCTCTCAGGGGTCGGGCAAAGCAGGTGTTTGGCCGAAGGAAATATATAATATATTTCAGAAATCTGCCTAAGGCTTAATCCGATCCTGTCGTGTTAAGCCACATCCAAAATTTCAAACACACGTGCTTTGACTAAAACTTGACTAGCAGAACTTCAGCATTTGTCATAAAATAGCGAGCAATTTGTAACAAAACCATATAAATTATATATCACTGTAACCACAAAACTTCAATCTGTTTCCGTATTATTTATGACTATATTTTCGAGAAAATTTAGTCCAAACATAAGAAATATTTTGTTGATGTTTGACCATCAAATTCTTAAAAATAAAGAAGTTCTAAAAATGTGCTACAATATGGATATAATACAATCCGTTGTCTTTAATTTCCTTCATCATTTGTGTAAAAATACCTAGCCAGTTTTACATAAAACGTTAAATGCCGAACGCTTATTTTGCCAATTTTTCGGACTACTGAAATGGACTCTTGAATCCAGCCATGTCATAGAACTACTTTCATCGCAAAACTAATGTCCATTCTGAATATTGACAGCGCTCTCCACGATATCCGTACTTCCCACTTGCGAGACTAGCTCAGATTTTACCGACGATGATAGGGTGAATTAAAACGATTGACACTGTGAAAACTGGTTAGTAACTTAAACAGTGGAAACTGTTTAAGTTAGTTTTAGTTTGATACTCTTAGTGGTAGGATTTGGTAGGTTGTTGACGTTGGATTCAGAGGTGTTTCAGAAGAGTTGTATTGCATACAGAGAAGACCAGGCTACTAGTAACATAACAAGTTGCCGGACGAATTTGCGTTTACCCAATTTGCGTGCGTACTCGAGATTCACTGCCGGCTAGTCGGCTAGTCAGGCAGTACGCAGTTACAGTTGTGCTTGGACGGGTCGGTCGTGACAGACTAGGAATACGACGCGAGAAGTGCCGAGTATTTATTATTTTCATTTTAAGTGTTTACCTTCACTTAAGGTAACATTTAAAATAAAAATACTCAAATCTTTATTATTTGAGTGTGTTTACAAGCCAAAACTAAAAATAAATAAATTCTCTAAACCCAAAAAAAAACTAAAATATTACTCTAAATAAAAAAAAAGTTATAACAAGTGTTGAAAAAGACCACCTTCTTGTGCTAGACGCAAAGGCGGTCGCAAAATCCCCGTCTGACAGTGGCTAACATATTAGGGCTAATAGTTTGTAAAGCCTCTCGTATTTTTACTTGAAGCTCATCCAGATTATTAGCCCTATTATGACCATATACTTTGGGTTTTACATAACCCCACAAAAAGAAATCATTGGGAGAAAGATCTGGTGATCTAGCGGGCCACAAAATAGTTCCATATCCACTAATTAAACGGTTAAACACTTGCTTTAACTCCTGTTCTTCATTAATCAACACATCAGGCTTCTTGTGTTTTTGTGGGGACACGCACCCATGTGTTTCAAAATTATTAATAACTCTTGATATAGTAGGTAAAGATAGAATTGCCCTGTTCACAAAAGTTTGTGGAAAAATTATTTGTATATCCCGATAAGACCTATTTTGGAAATACCATTTTACAATTTGAATTTTCTCACGAACTTCGTAAACATCCATTATTTTACTTAAAAAATAAATTTTACACGAGAACTGTCGCGAGAATCTATGTATTCGTTTTGGCTATTAAAACACGAATAAATACAAATTATGAAACATTCTTATCACATATTTACCTATTTTTATTTTATCGTATTTTTTCGCCTGCTTTTTATCCGGCGGACGGGTATACGCTAATTCGTCCGGTTCTGCCTATGTTACTACTACGGTGGTCCGGTCTGTATAGTAAGAGTCGTAGTCGGATCATTATTGAAGAATGTTGTCGATTTGCTCAATAATCTTGTGTTTTATTACCAGTTTGCATCTTACCGGCTATTACCGGCATCTTACCGGCTATTTAGAGACTCTCTTTGTAGTTGAGCCCATTGTTGTTAAACCAAACTTATGTAGAAGCTATGTTTATCATTTGTCTATAATACACAATCCACCAGGAATGCTAAAATATACTGGTTTTAGTCTCTATAGAGAGTGACGTTTGTTAATTTCTAGATATAAAACAACTGATCAACGAATATGGAAATATACTGGGTGCGTCTCAAAAGTGGCTCACCCCCTATAACTTTTTTATTTTTTCAGATAAAAAAACGAGGATTGGTATGTTAGTATATGACATAAATTAGGATTGATTGACGTATTCAATTGTTTTTGGTCACTTCCTGTTTCACCGGAAATGACTACAACTTTTGATTTTTAAATGGTACCCTCGGTATTTTTTTATTTAATTCAATCTAGAGTGCCATGGCTATGTTAAAAACACTAATTCTTAATCAAGGAGCCTTGGAAAAATAGATTTGATTTTCTAATGTTATTAGTGTCTTCTCCTGGCCAGTTAAAAGTTGCCCAAATCGTATTTTTAATCATATCTCAATTTTTTCAAATGGAACGAGGGTGGCTCATTAGCATATTTGGAAAAAGCATTTTTTTACGAATAATTTGATACCACACACTTGGTATTTCTAGTCAAATTTTCGTTACGAACCGCAAGTTATAATTTCAAATAAACCATATGCGAAAATGTCAAAAGTTGACATATGATAGTCATTTAAAAATTAAAAGTTGTAGTCATTTCCGGGAAACCAGGAAGTGACCGAAAACAATTGAATACGTCAATCAATCCTAATTTATGTCATATACTAACATACCAAATCTCGTTTTTTTAACTAAAAAAATAAAAAAGTTATAGGGGTGAGCCACTTTTTAGACGCACCCAGTATAAGCGCAAAACGTTGATTTTTTAAATGGATTTTTTTGTTTTTTACGTCTTTTTTTCTTTTTTCTTAAGTCATTTCTTTTAAAATTAATTATAAGTTTTTTATTTTGTTTTATATTTTTTTGTATGTATGAGGGTACTTACTACTTATTGTCAGCTTTGTTTTTTAAGATTCAAGACTTTTCATGTTTTCATTGTTTCTTTTACTATTTTTGCTAGGTATCTGTTTAATTGCTGTTTCTGTCAGCTTTACCGATCATACATAACCTAACCTCTCGACTCCAAACAGTAAAAACAGGAAAACAGACATGAAATAGAGACAACAGAAATGATAAAACAGACACGAATTCAGTAAAAAGCTACTGTCTGTCTCAAATATCATTAGTAGTATCACACATCACCTAGTAAAATTAAAAATAGAAAATATTAAGTAAAATTAAAATTGCGTATAAGATATGTAATAGAAAAGATCCGAAAACAATATCATCTGAATAGTTTGAATAAACACCGCAATATACTAGCATACTATTGAGAAGTTGGTGAAACTGCAATTTATTAATAAATTAAAAAGAAACTACTTTTGTATATGGCAGTATAGTTGTTAAGTGACAGCATTGTATTTAAAAAAACTAAAAAATATTGATAATGAAAAAACGCAAAAACGCATAAATTCGGTAGTTTATAAATAAAGTACGAGTAAGTTGAAACAAATCACACAGCAAGGGAATCCTGGATTGATTACTTGTCAGAACTATACAAATCAGAAGAAATAGAGGTTGAACTAAATACACCCGGAATAATGACCAACGACAACGTACAGATTGAGGCAGCCGACATAATTACATCCCTTCGAAAGCTAAAGAATAGGAAAAGCCCAGGGCAAGATGATATCCCAAACGAATTACTTAAATATGGCGGCCAAAGTCTCATGCAGCAGCTAACATCCCTGATTCAAAAAATTCTTTACCAACACAGGATACCCGATAAATGGCGAGCCAGCACCACTATCTTGATGTTTAAAAGAGGAGATAAGAAGCTGCCCTCAAACTATAGAGGCATAAATCTTCTAAGCACCACACTAAAACTTACGACAAAAGTGATAACAACCAAAATAAACGACTTAACATGCTTAGCAGATGAACAGCAAGGTTTCAGATCGGGCAGATCATGTACAGACGCAGTTTTTGTCATAAGACAGATAACAGAAAAATCAATCGAATATAACAAACCAGCGTATATGTGTTTTATTGATTTAGAAAAAGCGTTCGACCGTGTGCAGCTAAGAGACGTTGTACACCTTCTTTACAATAGGCAAATCCCACACAACCTCGTTAAACCATACAAAACATATATGAAGCGAACCAAATTCAAGCTAAAATTAACGGGGTCCTGACCGAACCAATAAATGTAGGCTGTGGTATCCGACAAGGTGACTCCCTGAGCCCTCTTCTTTTCAACATGATTATGGACGAAATAATAGGAAATGTACGTTTACTGAAGGGATACAGTATGGGCGACCAGGAAATTACTATTCTATGCTATGCCGATAACGCCGTATTGGTAGCTGAAAATGAGAACGATCTACAGCGCTTATTACATCGATTTAATTGCACTGCCAAATCACTTAATATGATAATATCGACCCAGAAAACTAAATGCATGACGAGATTAAAAGTACCACTAAGATGCAAACTGGAAGTCGAGGGCAATGTTATTCAGCAAGAGATGAAGTTTAAGTATCTAGGCATAGAAATCTCAGGATATGGTGATGTAGAAGCGGAGGTGCGAGAACGGACAACGAAAGCAACCAGAATAGCAGGATGCCTGAATTATACAATATGGCGAAATAAAAACATTGAGGTGGAGACTAAAGCGAGAATTTACAAAGCAACGGTACGACCAATAATGACATACACTGCAGAAACTCGACCTGATACAGCGAAAACTAAACAACTACTAGAAACAACCGAAATGAGAGTACTACGCAGAATAGCTGGAAAGACGCTTCTGGACAGGGAAGAAATGAAAGCATAAGAAGAGCGTGCAAGGTGGAAAATGTAAATGAGTGGGTACTCAACAGAAAGGAAGAATGGAACGAGCATATCAGCAGAATGGACAACAGAAGGATAGTGAGAGTTGCACGCGACAAATCACCGCTAGGTCGCAGAAGCTTAGGACGTCCACGAAAACGATGGAGCGACAACTTGTCAGTCTAACGGGTAGAGACGACGAAACCAAACAGGCGATTCGCCTAGTATGAAGAAGGAAGAAGGAAGATAAATAAAGTAAAAGTCAATTCAGAAAAAATACGGCATAATTATAGATTATACTTGTATTAAAAGATTTAATCACAGAAAATAATTTTCCTTAGTAATACTCCATAATACTCTTTTTAAACCTAACGGCTTTAAACTTGTGGAGTGATGAACTTTTGACTGATGTTTCTATTTAACTTATTACAGATGAATCCAGAGAAAAAGACAAAAATAAATTTTTATTTTGATACTTTAATGGGTTTCGAAATCTAGATCCTTGGAGCGATTGCCTACGCGTTTATTTTTAAATATTTCAGCTCAAGAAGTGACAGGCTTTACTCATTTTTCATTTTTGAAACGAATATAAATTCATCATTTAAATAGAAATATATCACGGGTAATAACGACAATAATAGATAACTAAACAAGAAATATACAGTTGCCATATTTAATATTATGGTCAAATGGTGGCAAATCAACATAAGCAAATCAAAATAATTTTAATTTGTTGCTAAAAAGTGAGACAATTACATTTTTAGGAATTCTATTTATTCAGGATAAGCTGTGTGTGAAGAAAAATATTTCAAGAAGAATATTCGGTTGAGCTTGCAACTGTTTGGCAACCTCGGTAACGTATAATAGTGTGAACCCGCACACGAATCGATTCGAATGGAACTAGTTTGAAATCAGTCACAAATCTATTGTTTGAGACCATTTGCGACAATTTTCCTGTTTTTAGGTGATTTCCACGTGACTATTTTATATAAAAACGTACGTTGACCCAGTCATTATAAGTGAATATCTTCTAATGAGTGAATAAAGACACAAATCTCACAATCTTTAATGATAGTTATTTATGGTACTAGTGTGTTATCTTACATATAAGTTACGCTGGGAAATGTTTAGTTAGGTTAGGGCTAATTTTATCAAGTGTCTTATATGTTATAACACGCGAGTGCCATACAAAAATTTATCAAACAGCAGAACTGTTTCATGTCCAATCTATAAAGAATAATTGATTTAAAAGAAGCTACCAGTTCTACTTTCATTGTTGCGAATTAATAAATTATCAGGGTGCGTTTATGTTACTATGTAATATAGATATGCGTTTTTTGATTTTTTGTAAATAATAAAAAGCACTGACATTAAGACGTCATTTAGATAAATCGCGATTTTTTAACGATAAAATAGTGAATTATCAACCAGAAAGTCGGATTTTAAAGAAAAATGATTCAGGAAGATCTTCCGCAAGATATTATTTACCAAGCAGAGGCGGATACAGCACAAATACTGCCAGTAAAGTCTCGTGGCGTATATGATAGGGAATTCAAGGCGTTTGAAGAGTGGACGAAAGTAAAACATGTCAAAGGTATAAATGAAACTATTTTGCTTGCTTATTTCTTTGAACAACAGAAGAAATTTGTTCCATCATCCTTATGGACTAAAGCTTAATTTTCATGCATCCGTTGTTCGACGATACGATGATACGATATTAAATTCAACCAAAAAAATTAATATCGTATCGTCGGACAACGGGTGCATGAAAATCAAGCTTAAGTATTCAATGCTCAACTCTACAGATTTATAAAAATATTAGATTTTCCGAATTCCCAAAACTTATAAATTTTCTCAAAATAAAGGGAAATTCTAAAAATTCTTTCACAGCATCAAATTCTATTTATTGAGACGAAGAAAACGGAATTCTTCACTGCGAGTAAGAAAGTAAGAGTTATTCTCCCAAGTCGTTTTACTACCTCTAATTCGTCAGTTACAATATTACAAAAATATGTATTTATCACATCTCATCTTATTTTAATAAGCTTAAAACCCGAAAGTTTTTGACAAAGATTATACGTCTCCGACGAGATCTAGGTGGTCGAGATGTGGAAAAACAGACTATAATTTTTGTAAACAATACCACTAGCATGACTATTTTCTTTTGTGATGTAGAAAATATGTAAAATACTATTAGATATTCATTAGGGCTTTAAGGTTGACAGGGCTTAAAGAGCATAGAAAACACAACACAAGAATTATTATTCTGCCTATTCATAATGGGGAGACCTTGTTATTACATGTATCCCATTTTTATTTTGCATCATCTTTATGGTCAAGTAAATTATTTGCGAAATAGTATCTTAGTTTGATCCAGCTTACTTTTTATGTCAGCTTCAAAACAGAATTTTGGTTTTCCCCTACGAAATAAAAAATTACTCTTATATGGCTAATTCAATATGTATGGCGACCCACTATTATGCATAAGAAATATTGTGAAACAAAATGGGTATATTGGCAGCAGGGGTGGATGGGGAAGTGGAAACCGGCCCGGGAAAAACAGGCAACCGGCCTAAATCCACAAAAAGAAAATGACCATAACAAAGAAACATATTTTATTTATTAATATTATAAGTAAGGGTGTTTTTCGCTTGTGCGAAAAAGCTCTATTACCTTCGGTTTTAAAAATAAATTAAATTGTCTTGATCAAAATTTTCGTAAAGACCAATATTGGGTCGGACATCTGAATTTTTACTACAAAATTGCTCAGTTTAACAGGATTCTACCGCTTTATTTCCATTATCGGTAACGGTAATTTCATCTTGAATAGGCTACGATTTTGAGAAACGATTTTGAGAAACTTTAAGACTTCCTGATTCATTCAGTTCAGCTGACCCAATCCTCTGTGAAATACATTACTTTTAGCTTTAGTTTAAACCTTATTTAACTCTTCTCTGCTCTCTCAGTAAATTTTAGCAAATTAATTTTAGCAACATTTTAAACAACAATTTAGACTTGGCTTTCAGTTCTCAGACTTGGCTTATAGTCTGTCCCCAATTCAAGCCAAGCATACATATGTTTTCTCCGTCAACCGCAGAGTTCGCGTCAAATTCGTCTACTTTTTTACAAAGGGAAGCTCGAAAAATATTGCACCGAGGCCCCCAGTTGTCAATCTACGCTACCGTATTCTTAGTATACATTTAGATTGAGACTATTTAAATTTACCTAATGCTATTTATTCTTTTTTTTTTGCTGACAGTCAGTCATATTTATTAGTTATTAACATAAGAATAGTCAGTAAAACTTTACAGGGTGTAGATTTTAAATAAATGCAAATATATTCAGGGGTGGTATATTTCGACCCCAGGAACACGTCTATGAGTTTTTTTGCAAAAAAAGATGTTAAAGGTCGAGCATTTTCTTTTAAATTTTCCTGTGTATTTTAGAAAACATTTTAGAACTTCCTGTTCATCGCAAATTTTCCCCCACGGTATAGTTTCTTAATCTCTGATATTACGGCACTAAAAGAGATGCAAATACCGAAAAAATGCGGTGGCTCAAATTTTGTTAAAAATAAATCTATTTTTTTAAATTTCCAGACTTTAATAACTCGATTGGACTTATTTGAAACTCGATAAAGAGAATATATAATGGTTATTTTATTGAGATCTACGAGCCCTGAAAATATTTGCACGTATAGACTCGCCTTGTATAATAAACATTTTCAAACCGAACAAACAACAGATGATTATTAAAATTAAAAGTATCCCAGAGAAAGACATTTTACAATAGTTATTTTACAAATTGGTGTTTATGTTAAAAAGCAACTGACGATTATACTGATGAAAATGGATTAGTTAGTTATGGATCACTAAGGATCTTATGTCACTTTACTTAGAAGATTAACCATTTAATTTTTGCTAATCCAGTCTTTTTGGAGTTCTGATCGAGACCGGCTCACCGGAAATTTTCCCGCTTTCCCATATGGCCCATCCACCTCTGATTGGTAGAATGATAAAAAACGTTTTTAAGTGCCAAAAGCATCTCCCATTCAGCAATCTGCATCCAACGCACTCTCTTCCACACTAAAGATAGAAATTAAATTTACAAACCAACTTTACAAAAACGAGTTTCCAACAAAACAGCTAAACTCACACACGTACAAATAAATCTATCTAAACGCACAATAAAATGCTCTAAATAAATATATGTCGATTTGGAGCCTACAATTTCTTATAAGTATTGATAGGTCAAATTCTCAGGGGAGGAAAATAAGTGCTTTTTTTCAAACGTCACAAAAGCATTTATTTTTGCGAAGTTATTGACAATATAGAAAAGTAATTTTAACGCCTAAGTATAAAAGTAAAGCACCTTTATGTCTAAGTACAAAAGTACGAAAATATATTATTAAACTGACATAAAGTGTCAAATTTAACGCGTAACCATAGTTTCTTGATATATAATTATTATGACTTTTATGTTTTTTAATCATCATATTGAGCAGAGGCCAACAATATTTATTTAGAGTTGCACAAAGACACGGTTTCGCCTTTTAATCCATACATTTAATGACTTATGTCCGTAAGTATTATTTTAACAAAAATATTAACGTGAAAATTAGATGCATTACAGATAGTCCCATACTAAGCACAGTATAAATATGTTTTTTTTTGTAAAAAACTTTCTTATCGTTTGCATTTTATGCCCATTATGTTTGTTTAGGGTTTGTGTTCAAAATTCAAACTAGTCGCATTGCGACCCGATTCAATTCTTAAGATTCTTTATGTCTCATTGTTCGTCTCAAATTTTATGGATCCGTGCTAGCCACGATTCAACTGAACGAACCGTATTCTAAGCGGTGAATCGAATATCACGATTCATTTTTAATACTCGTTCAATCCTTGCCTACCTCTAATGTATATACACAAAAAGCAAAACATTGTACTGAACTTTAAACATATAAAAATCCGGAATCAGTAGTTTAGTAATGCCTTCTATCTAGTTGTAGGTAGGATAATTACCACAACACTGAACCGGATTTAAATTACAAGATTTAACCGAGAAGAGAAAAAACAAACCGAAACTAAATGAAAAAAGTTAAAAGTAGGGGAAAGCGAGCTTGAAACTACGTTTTATCGGCTTCGCAGTCTTGCATTTCCAGTCGGGAGGTTTCGCCCGATGCGGAGCTTAATTGCTACGAAAAAGGAACCGAAAGAAATACGGAGCTTTGTTTAAATTCTAACTGATTAAACAGACTATCTTTATAAAAAAGGATAATTGCATTAAGGTAAGCTTGTCTATAGTTTTATATTTCTAAGTAGCTGATACGAATTAAGCGTTCGACTTAATTAAATTGGTATTGTTTCTGTCTGGATTGAAAAGATGAAGTTGGGTGGATTAAGTATCAACAGGTTTCAATGTAAATGGGGAAGTCTCATAATCTTATTAATATATCTAAAAATAATTAGAAACCTGGTAATTACATGTTTTAATTTACTTAGAATGGATAATGAATAATAATTGCTCTAATCCTTGCTCTAAGCATCAACAACCAAATCTATCAACGCAGTTCTAACACTACAAAAAGTTGTGAGTTTTCATGTAAAACCAAGACAGTTATTTAAGTTAGTTTGTGCAGATTAAAGAGTCATCGTATACATATAACATTTTTCATAAAAACATATGACTTTTTAAAAATTGCTTTAGTATGGATTATATTAAAATTTCGGATTACAATAATTGAATTTAATTCTGAAAAATTCTACTAAAATAACAATTCGTAAACGCGAAAATGTACACACATATGCACGAAATCAAACAATTATTTAGACAAAACGGTTAAACTTTGATGCGAAATCAAAAAACTTTCGATTGCGGTAGACTAAAGACGTTCTTACAGGCGGCGTCATGGAATATAAACAAACTTTGCTCGCTGGGGCCGTTAAACGACAGACAATGTTCATACGCGAAATGCTTTAATAAAACGGCTTTCATTAGCAACGAAACGAATAATTATTATTGTTTTATTATGTAAAATATTTCTTGGCTAAATGTTGACTTGATGGAAGAGTTTAGACACATCATTTATTTGCTTGACGCCCGCTAGTTTTTTTCTTCTTTTTTTGTTTGTTAGAACAAAATGTTTCCTTGAACATGTGTGTTCTATATTATGTGTATTGTGTAGCACAACAAAGTTTAAATATTTTGTAATAATTAAACATATTTTTTTCTTTTTTTTTTTAATTAGCTGATTTGACTAACTTTTTACCGCCAAACAGTGAAATGTGAAATTATTGTTGAACTTACCACCACTACGTATTTTCATACAAAGCGAAGCCATATCTGTCATGTATACATATACATACTGCCATTACTCGCTGACGAGTATTCGACACGCATCAAAAGATGGTCACACAACACGTTTTCTTTCATGAGCTTTTCTGTGACTGAAAAGCCCGATACGTGATGTTATTTTCCTACCACACTCCGGCATTCAAAAATCTCATTGCTTTGTTGCCTCTTTACTTTTTGGTTGTCGCTGTTAACTGAGTTTACAATTCTTCTCCATTGAGTTCTATTGTGAACTGCTTCTTCCCAATGATTCTGCATGTTAATCCCCTTTAAGTTTTCGTGGAAAATGTCCTTGTACCTTTTGAATTGTCCACCCGGCCTCCTCTTAACGTGGACAAGCTCACCGTAAAGCAGAGATTTTGGTATGCGGTTTTCTTGCATTCTGCATACGTGACCAGCCCATCTTAAGCGGGATTTTGTAACCACGACTTCAATACTGTCGCAGTTAGCTTTTTCAAGGACCGATACGTTTGAGACATGATGGAACCACCAGATTCTTAAGAGTTGTCTAAGGTGTCTCTGTTGCAACTTGTTTAATGCCTTCATGTGTCGGCGGTACGGCATCCAGGCTTCGCTCCCATATAACATGGTGGGGATTATAATTGCACGGTACACTGCCAGTTTCGTTTTTGTACTCAAGTCATTATTGTAGAAAACCCTGTCTTTTAATTTCCAGAATGCTCTTGAGGCGATGCTAATCCTGTACTGAATTTCAGAGTCGATATTGGCCTTTTCCGTCAAAAAAAAACTGCCGAGGTAATTAAATTCCGCTATATATTCCAATAGTTCCTCTCCGATTTTTACAGCATTGTTATGATCTTCCGGGGGAGTGCACATGATTTTGGTTTTGTCGATGTTTAGCGTAAGACCCAAAGCCTCGTATGCCCAGGTATATGTGTTCAACATTTCTTGTAATTGTTGTAACGTGTTTGCAACTAGAGCGCAGTCATCAGCGTATTGAAGTTCTGTGATGAATTTTGTACGTGTTTTTGCCCTCAGTCTATTTATGTTAAACAGACCGTCGTCATATCTTTATCTAATACCCAACCCTCTCTCCTGCAGTTTGCTGTCCACTATAATGGAGAGCGCTGCCATGAACATGTTGAATAGAAGAGGCGCTAAGACAACTCCTGTATTAGTCAGGAAGGGATCGCTCAGTGATCCATGATGTGACACTCTTGACTGGTTGTTGTTATGGAGGCTTTTACACAATGTAAGAAATTTGTTGGGTATTCCGAACTTTTTCGTAATTGCCCAAAGTGCATCTCTGTTCACAGAGTCGAAGGCTTTTGTTAGATCGATGAATGCGACATAAAGTTTAGAATGCTGCTCTTTTACTTTTTCCTGTAGTTGGCGGATGGAAAATATGGAATCGACGGTGCCACGGTTGGTGCGAAAACCCGTTTGCGATTCTGGAAGGATTCTTTCTATATGTGGGTGAAGGCGATTTGTGCGATAGCCAATAGTGAAATTCCCCGGTAATTTCCGCAGTCTAATGCACTTCCAACCAATCTGTCATGCACAGGTTAATTCACGTTCAATTTGTTTAGGAGGGGGGTTAATCACCGCGACCTTACAGATATATATTGTGTGATCCCCTTTCTTGAGTTATAACGAGTTATAACTCATCATACAGCCTCAGAGCTTTGACAAAAGAAAGTATCTGAGACGGTTCCACAGAGGTCAGCTCTACCAAAGTTTATTGCACGAACGGCTGTCGTCTCGGCGCACTCAGTGATATGGTGTTCTGGTGTTTCCCCATTTTCCCCACACAATCTGCATTCTCCGTTGTTTCTTTAGTACATAAGCCAGACGCATAGTGCTGAAAACCAGAAGCTAATTGAAGACCTAAATGCAGTTAATGTATTGGAATTACCGCTAGATGCGACAGCTAAGCGGCGTTCGACTCGATATATCCTAAGGCAATAATAGAAGCCCTAGAGAAATAGGGTAATAACAGGTCTTATATAGAAATTCTCGCCAATATATACAAAGAAGCCAAAGCAAGAGTAATGATATATAAAACAACACCAGAGTTCTCAACTGGCTAAGGAGTACGACAGGGAGACGCGATATCCCCATAGATGTTTAGAGCAACGCTAGAAGAAAACATCTTCTGTCTACTGGACTGGACCAACAAAGGATTAAAAATAGATGGAGAATATCTTAACCATCTACGATTCGCTGATGACATAGTCCTAATTTCAAATAGTCCTGAAAAACTACAAGCACAAATTAACGAACTAAATACAGCCAGCAATAAAGTAGGCTATAACTAAAATAATATACAACGTACTAGTAGACAGAAAATACATTCTAGTAAATAACACAACACTGGAAAATAGTGGAAGAATAGATATATTTGGGACAACTAATACACAGCTCGGGAACTCAATTACCAGAAATCAATAGAAAAATTAAGTTAGCATGGAGTACTTATGTAAGAAACTCAATCATATTCAAATCTATAATGCCACTTTATCTAAAGAAGAAAACGACCAAACCAAACCTGAGATGGATCCATGATATTAGGAAATTAGCAGGGATAACTTGGGCCCGCATAGCCAGCAATAGGCAACCAATGGGCTCAACTACAAAGAGAATATCTAAATATGTGAGGGAGGCTACACCATAATTAAAAATTGATAAATAATCTGAGAATGATGATGATAATGATGAGCTTACCAGAACGTTACTAATCAGAAAGAAGAAGATGCATAATAAGAAGATGGAAAGCATTAATTCGCGCTGAAATCATTCGTCGTGACGTACATTCGCTGCCAATTCACGTCTACACCTGAGAAATATTTTCTCGCGAATGCGAACGAATGGTTGGGTTAGGTTAGGTAGAATTCGTCAAGTGTGTCCTCGGCTTTAGATATTTTGATATGTGCACCTTTGGAAACACTGCATGCCGATGTTTTGCTCTGTCCAGAAAATTATTTTTTTTTAATTACAAAATAGTTTCAATTAGCCAACAAAACAAGCTCACGATTATGCCAAAATATTTTAAGTATAAATAACCACTATCAAATTTTTACGTCTAACTAGAATATTTAGCTTCTGATAATTAATTATGTTGTTATATCATTAAAGTAATTATAATTCTAGAACGAAGTTAATATTTATTTAAGTATAAAAGCTTGAAAAAAAAACGAATAGAAGATTAAGAAAAATTTAAATTAAAAATTAAATTTGATTATTATTATTTACTTAATTTTATTTAATATTTTGGGAATATCGTCACCCAATAATTTAATAATTAAAAGCTAAATGGAAAATGTTCTGAAATATCCAGAAAATTACCAGGAAATTCATTGCTTTGAATGTGTTGATTTGTGAATGTCAAAATCAGGGTTCAGTAGCTAACAGAAATATTGAGGAAATGTTAGCTGCTGTGTTTGTTGCCGCTAATAGCTGTTTTATTTTAACGTTTTCCAATATTACGTGATCAGTAGTTTTATTGTTCCGATATAATGACTGACAAAAGTCAATAAAACAGTAACATTTTCAACATTGGCTATTTTCGTAAATATGCTTGCATGACGATAGTGTCTGATGAAATTGGATACTTACGTTATTGGCCAGGTATTTTCCTAAATTCACTGTATGCATCGTTGCCCGAAACACATGCATTGTCCGTAACATGCATACATTTTCTAAACATGTTCTAGGACATCATAGCATACAACAAACATATACAAACCAAGAGAAATGTAGTGTTAGAGTGGCTCCTTCTGTATACTATTTTCCTAAAAACGTTTACTTGGCTATTCATAAAAATTCAGTATACATTGACCACTACAAAGTTGGGTAAGTGACGAATGTACGAGTATTTTATATTAGTTTTCACATTTTGTTTGGTTTTCTCCAAAATATGCAAAGGAGAAAATATTATTACGTTTAATAAGATTTTGTTGCTTTTAGATTCCAAAGACTTTTTGAAAACGGACTGCAGAAACGGGCCTTACTGAGACTATTTGTGAAGAAACCAAAATGCGAAGAGCACATGAGCAATTTCAGTGGAATTGGAATAACGGAAACCAAATTTATATTCACTGTATTTCTGATTGGAATAGGAGCTAGTTTATCTATTCTCTTGTTAGAAATATCTATTTTTAAAATCACCCATTCGTTGATTTATTATAATATTTTAAGGAAATATCATGTACTACAATCTTATACCAACTAAACACACGTTTAAATACATATATGTTGTTAAAAATAATGTCTATAGGATTGTGGAGTTGCCTGGCTAGTTGCTATTGAAACAGGAATCTAAAAAATAAAATTTATTTATTGTATGTTATAATAATTGTCAATTTCTTTTTACTGGTAAAACAAATATGCTTTCCAACACAAATGCTTAACGTTTCAAAAAAATTATATTATAATCAAAGAACCGATAGCCTCTAAGGGAAAAATAGATGACTTTTAAAATCCAATCATTTTAAATATTAATAAATGTACCTATTGCTCAGGCATCTGTAAATGTGATATTAATACTATATAAATGATTTTTTTGGAAATTGCGTACCTAGATATTTCGCTACGGAAACAGATATCTGTGAATAAAATTAAAAAAGTTACCACAGGAATAGGACTATGAGATTTTTTAAACCTATATACAGTTTTTTTTAGTTAAAAAACAAAATAATTTTAAAGGAAGAAGAAAAAAAAAATAGAAAAGTCTAGTGCTTCTGAAAATTTAAGCAAAAAAACTTTTTTTTTATTTCAAAGTAAAATATCTCGGCTATTTTGGACTTATTTGAAAAACAGAAAAGAAAAAATATATTTCTTTTATAGAGGTCCATCAGCCCTGAAAATATTTGCACTTATCTAAAGCGGCCCATACATTATCAAACAAATTGTGCAACAAAGCGATGCGCAACGTTGCGTTCCACAACTGATTCAGTGGCCCATACATTATCAAACAAATTGCGCAACAAAGCGATGTACAACGTTGTGTTGCACAACTGATTCAGCGGCCCATACATTATCAAACAAGTTGCGCAAAAAAGGGATGCGCAACGTTGCGTTGCACAACTGCATTAACTGCAGCAGCAACTGCAGTAAAGCAAATGTTAAAGACATAATATGAACAGAGAATTGATCTGGATAATATTATTTTTCTAAAATGTTTTTATTATCTCCCTGTATAGGATACGTCAAAATAATACATCGAAATAAGTTTTATTTATTTTTATAGTTAAGCAACGGTTGTTATTCTTTCCGTGTAACAATATCTGTTTAAAAATAACCTCGCACTATATTAATGATAGAAAACATTAATGTAAATAACGAAAGATACTTAATGGGTCTTAGATAATGATTGATGGACGGTTTAGTATATGTTTTTAATGTAATTACGATGGTTATTTTTTATTTATTTATTATTTTCCTAGTGACGTCACAGGTGGTATGCGCGAACTGAACGAAATTGGAGCCGCTATCGATCATACCTTGTATTCTTTGTACCATGACGTCTAAACGCCTTTGATGTACCGACTCGAAGCGGATGGTCGAGCGCACGAACGAACGAACGGTGTTCGGTCCCCGTCTAAATATACCGCACTTTCATTCGTTCGTTCGTTCGTTCGTTCGGATAATGAATACGCACCTTAAATCTGAAAGCGCACGCAGACGAACGCCTTTGATGTACCGACTCGAAGCGGATGGTCGAGCGCACGACCGAACGAACAGCCGCATGCGTTCGGTCCCCATCTAAATATACCGCACTTTCATTCGTTCGTTCGTTCGTTCGTTCGTTCGGATAATGAATACGCACCTTAAGAAGCATTTTAGTAAAAAAATACTGAACATATCGACACAAGAAATTAAAAGAAAAGTAAAAGTATTTTAGTTGTTTTTTATACAAGACGATAAAATGGTATTTTATCGTCGTAAATTATTATATCAAGGAATTTATTACGAGTAGAAAAAATATTGTGCTGGGTTGGCGTTGGTTTCTATGTAGTTTGACAAATAAATAAAGCTATCTCTTTAGTTGTCAGTTTTGAGTCAATATTTTTTACATTTTTTAATTCTCTTTCGTGTCGATTGCTGATTGAATTGGAGCCAGAAATGGCTCAAAACGAAATAAGTAAATTACCAACAGATATTCAGGTTGAGGCGACAAACGCCATATCCAAACTACTTCCATTTAAATCCCGAATATCTTATGAAAAGAATACAAAAATTTTCAAAAATGGAAGCAATTAAAAAACGGGCAAGAAGAAAGATCAAGTGAAAACATACTTTTAGCATATTTTCCTGAAAAATCGAAGAAAATGCAGCCGTCCAGTTTATGGGCGTATTATTCAATGCTAAAAAGTACTATACTGGTCAATGTAAACATTGATATTTCAAGGTTAAGGATAAGCTATACCGTATAAATTTCCGTAGAAGTATAGTGACATCTAAACTTTGTAGATATAGCAAGCTCATAGCTCTCTTGAAGCAGTCATCTAGCGGTTACAAACCGAAAAAGTCAAAAATTTTAAACCCAGAAGATGTGATTTTTTCTTTTATTTTGGGTAATGTCAATTTCACCATAAAAATTTGCATGAATAAAAAAATTTATGACGATTCTTTGTAATTTGAATATTTTTAATACAGGATTGCAGAATAAAGTTTTTAACCTATCCTCGCTGTTAAATTATCATTTAATCTACCCTTGCGGTTAAAGTACTATTTTATCTACTATTTTTGATAGATATAAGTCAATTTTAACAGTTGCTATGGAAAAAAAGTTATTATTAAGGGACCCCTAAATGTGCTAACATAAAAAGCATACATAAGAGGTAAAAAAGGTAAGTCAGTTATTGCAGAACATGTATGGTCCAAGCAGCACAACATAAAGTATCTTCTCATTTCTATCAAATGGTATTTTTTATATCAAATCACAATAACATCTTTAGTTAACTAATGACAAAATTTTCAGCAACCATACTGATAATAGTTATTTATGGTAATAGTGTGTTTTTTATCCAAAACAAAATTTTATCCAACTGTTTCATGTCCAATATCTAAAGAATAATTGATTTAAAAGGATCTACCAGTTCTAATTTTATTGTTCCGAATTAATAAATTATCAGGGTGCGTTTATGTTACTCTGCAATATAGATATGCGTTTAGTTTTTTTGTAAATAATAAATAGCACTGACATTCAGACGTCATTTAGATAAATCGCGATTTTTTAACGTTAAAATAGTGTACAGTATAGTATAACCAGTGTAATAATATAGTATAAATAGTGTAATAGTATCAACCAGCAAGTCAAATTTTAAGGAAAAATGATTCAGGAAGATATTCCGCAAGAAATTGCAAGGCTTGTTCAGAGGTTTTATAAAAATGGTAAATGCAGGCAACGCAATGCGTGGAAATCAATACTTCGTCAAGAATGCTATCAAAAATTGCTACGTACTTGGGCCTACAACATCCTCAGCAATACACTGGCCTTTGTATGAGAAGATCATCTGCTACATTACTGGCAAATGCAGGAGTGAACATGACAAACGTTAAAAAGACACGGAGGATAGCGATCTGCAACGGTTGCGGAAGGATATATCGAAGAGTCCATCAACAATAAAATAGCGATTGCGAATAAGATTCAATGTGCTATAAGTGTTCCAGAACGAGCCGTTGTAATAACAGGGCCTATTTCAAGCAGTAGAGGGACATAATCTGAAGGCATACAAGGTTTTGCAATTTCTGAATCTACAAAAAAAAATCGTTTTCATTTAATGTTAATGTTAATTTAAATAAATAATTGAATTAGTAATTTATGAATAAAGCTTAAAAATTTCTATAAAATGGTGTGACTTTGAAGTTATAACACACTAGTTTGTTATAACTTCAAAAACTCACGCGTGTGTTATTATTTATTTTACATGCATGTATGCATGTGAGTAATGTCTGTATAAGTAGTGGCTGTTGGATAAAAATATTATCTTAAATTCAATAGTATACGAAACTCCTACAATCTTAAAAAAAGTAATAATGAATGAATCTTTTGAGTTCTTTTGCACTACTTTCCAACTTGTAAAACTAATAATCTCGAGACGTATAGTGTCCTGCATTTTCTTTATATATTTTAATTGTTGGAATTTAAACACTTTCTGACAGTCCCTTGTAATGCTAATATTTCTCATCTTATACTGAGCTTTGATGTTTAAATTTAAAGCTGCCTGAATCTGTTACTCTTATAATTGGGCCACCCTCTATATTTACTTATTTATAATCATAATCCTGTCTCAAATATAGGTAGACTAATATTTCATGATATGGTCCACATTAAACTGTATAACGTTTAGTAGTTGAAGGCTAAAATGAGGGTAAAGCCACAGGTGGCGCTATTCTCTCGACATCACTGGCTATTTCCTCCATTTAGTATTTATCGTTTTCATGTTTCCCCAGCAGTTGTATCCAAGAATAATCTATATATCTTACATATTTATTTGTAATAATCCTCTTAGTTGATTTAAACAATAATCTGTTTATTTTAGTTTAATATTCAACGACAATAATATTCCAAAAAATTAGAGATAATAAAATTTACTTGAATTTAATTAAATTGACATACAACTGCCGCTGCCATGCCTTTTCTTGATGGAGGGGCTTCAGCAAGAATCAACGTAATGCCATATACCGGATGAAAATAAAATCATTATACATGCTACTATTCTATTATACAGACCGGACCACCATAGTAGTAACATAGGCAGAACCGGACGAATTAGCGTATACCCGTCCGCCGGATAAAAGCAGGCGAAAAAATGCGATAAAATAAAAATAGGTCGATATGTGATAAGAATGTTTCAGAATTTGTATTTATTCGTGTCTTAATAGCCAAAACGAATACGTAGATTCTCGCGACAGTTCTCGTGTAAAATTTATTTTTTAAGTAAAATAATGGATGTTTATGAAGTTCGTGAGAAAATTCGAATTGTAAAATGGTATTTCCAAAATAGGTCTTATCGGGATATACAAACAATTTTTCCACAAACTTTTGTAAACAGGCCAATTCCATCTTTACCTACTATATCAAGATAATTCAATAATAATTTTGAAACACATGGGTGTGTTAGTGCCACACACGTTAGTGTCACAAAAACACAAAAAGCCTGCTGTGTTGATTAATGAAGCAGGAGTTAAAGCAAGGAATTAAAGCAAGTGTTCGTTTGTGCTACCGCGGATCAAAATCCCACGTTTTAAAGTAATCAAATTGCTGAGGTGGTTGCCCTGCCCACGATGCC